TTTCAGTTTCATTCAGAAGCTGTTACTGTTGATTACATAGCTTTTACTGCCAACAATGCTGGTTACCGCCGTCCTATATTGGGGGTAACATTGTCAGTGACCGGAGCCCGACCGTAGTCTGCAGTCAACGACGTTTTCTACGCTTTGCCATTAGAAACACTTCGTTGCCCAAGAGTAGAAGAGGTGAGAGAGTCCCGGTGTTGTTCTCAACGTTCGGAGAGGTGGGTCTCTGCGGGTTTGCATGTGCGAGTTTGAGCAAGCAGGAGCATTTGAGTTCGGGAGAAGGGGCATTTTGCGCTGCTTCTGCGCTGTCGAGGGACTTTGTGCCGCAGCAAAACCAAAGCTTGGGCTCAGTCGTGTGGCATTTTCCTGTACTCCCAGCCCACACGTGTTCTCTCTTTATCTCTATCTCGCACTTTTTCTGTACGGGTGTTTCTTTCACCTTTCACTCGGTGCTCCGTTCACATATGACCTGCCGCTTCGCCCACTGCTATTCCTTCCTTACAAACGGTAGCAGACAGTCGTTCCTATGCGCGTCTCCGAAAAGGGAGAAGAGGTTCCACTTGAGAAAGTCCGCTTGGTTGTTTGCTTGTCCTTCTGTTCGCTGCGATATCTGCATAGGGTGGCGCCCACTGCACCTTGGCGCAAACGGAAAATGCTTCTCGTCGCGGTGATGGCTTGCGGAGTGGTACTAGCAACGATCTGGCCTGTAGTCAGCGAAAGTGACGGCGGGATCACCGCTAGGCTGCCCTGAAAGCAGTCGCCGGAAGGGGTCGCGCTAGCTGAACGGCCTCAGGCAGGATATCAGAAGCGCTTAGGAAGCAAAGCGAAGGGCAAAGGACTGAAGCCGAGCCATACCAGGCCATAAGGACCACCAGCAGCAGAAGCAGCCTAGTCGAGTGGCACAGCGGTAGTCCGCGCAGGCATTTGAGAATTGCAACAGAAAGACAAAGATAGGGGGGTGTCAGAGTGAAAGGACAGGGGCCCGACTAGAGCAGTAACAATAACAACAACGCCACCATGACCATCTGCAACGGTTGAAGCTGCGACGACGACGACGACGATGGCGGTGATAACAACAACAACAACCGGACGATGAGATGCCAGCGACGTTCGTTCATGAGGGCGGAGATACAAGTCGGCGGCAGTGGAAAGATGGAAGGAGGGGGTCGGATGGCGCAAAGAGAAGACGCAATAAAAGCACCAGCTAGGAGCAGCAAAGACTTGAGGCAAGCGAAAGTAGAAAGAGAAAAATAAGAAGAAGAAAGAAAAGACAGCGACCCACAAGCAAGGGTTCGTGGCGCGATACCGCTTTGAACTCGGAGCTCGAAGAGGGCTGGCTTGTGCTAGCTGCAAGAAAGGGTCTCTCTTTCTGCCCCAACTGCATGGATGCCACTATTGTGGAACCAGTCTGTAGTTGCCGATGGGAGTATAAGTGCTGAAGAGTAACAGGAAAGGAAGACACTAAAAGCAAATGCACTTCTCGAAGTTTCGCTCGTTTCTTCGTTCGCTCGTTGTATTTCCCACAGAATGAGTATCGACCTATACATGCTATTTCTTCCTCTCGCTGTTACTTTGCCGCCTTCACCCCTGTTGGATAAACGGACGTCGCACAGCCTCGAGGATCTCCGTTAGCAAGGTCTCCTGCATGTGCTTTCATCGGCAGCAGCTGCAGCTGAAACAATAGCAGCAGCAGCAGCAACATCGTGTCCATCACACACAGACCCAGACCAGACATGCCGAGTCACATGCAGACATTCAGCCCATAGAAGCGCACAACACTGTCACAATATACGATGAAAGTTGTAAGCGGGTTTTGTTCGGGGAAAGGGAAGGAGGGAGGCAGATGGGCGAGTGCGTGGCTGAGTGCGCGGCCGCTTGACGCTCTGCTTATATTTGGCAGAGGCCGGACCTATTCGCAGTGGCCGGTCGTACGTGCTACGTATACGGGCGCTCGTTCGTATTTATGTGTGTCGTTGTATGGCCGTGGCCAGGCGAAGCGAGACACGCCAGCAGTGTTTGTTTGGTACATTGATGGTAACCAACACAGGCGTTTTTCTTCCGCATCCACAAAGAACTGTGAGGGAGAACGAAGCACGCAGAAATAGAGCCAACATCCTCACTACACGACACTGGCGCATAAGAAATGGCCGGTTTTCTCACTACACGACACTGGCACATAAGAAATGGCTGGCTTCCGCTAGCCACGACTCCATGAGAGGTAACGTGGCGGGGAGGAGGGATGCGCGAGGTTGGGAGTGGTACGATGGTAGCTGGCTTTTCGGCAATCAGCGTGATGGCAGCCTCGCACCGTCACTGCGGAAAGCACGAGCAGCAGCAGCAGAAGTAGCATCGAGCCGGTCAAAGACCGCGCCATAGTCACAGTCGACGATGGAGGCGGTGGTAGCTGCGGCGGCAGAAGCATGAGTTCGCGTTGGACGGGACTCGCATAGAAGAACTGCTTCGGGGCAATAGAGTTACAATGGAAGCTGACTCGGGAGTAATAAAGAGAAGGGAGTTATATATTAGATGATGGTCGCTCATGGCGTACTGCTGTTGTCTGTCATGCTGCTTTCGCTATTGCTAACATTACCGCTAATGTTAGCGATGTTGTGTTCTGCAGACTATAATAGCACCTTAAACATGATAGTACTAGTAGTTGTGGTAACGAAAAGTAAAGAGCAGAGCACAGAGCCTGATACAGACAGACTCTGAGCCAATTAGGACTCGTTCTTTTATGCCAGTGAACTAGGTTTGTTGGATATCCGTTTTCGTACAACGGCGCAAACGTATTTTTCGTGGAACTTCTTTAAAGTAACTGGAGCCAAGAAATCGAAAGAGTGACTCGGAAGATATCTTGTTGAACAGAGCGCGTTCTCTAATGGTATAGTAGCAAGCCAGCGAGATATTTGTCATCCGCGGCCCGCGTTATTCCTTGCCATAACTGCCGCTTTCTAACCTACGTATTTTATGTACTTACATTGCTCTATATAACGGGTAACTAACGACGGAAATGTGTGTGAAACTATGTAATAAGTAGTAACAACCCAAGATAGGCAAACAGCTAACTGTCTGTTGTCTCGCAGACAGGCAAAGCTTGTATAGAAATATTTCTAGGACCAAACGCGGTATTATTGCCAGGCAGCGTCAACTGGTGTGCAACTAACTGTCTCCTATTGCTATTCTTCGTGACAGTCTGCTTGCGCCGATTTTCCACTTTACGTCGCTGTTGGTTCTTTAAGTTCCATGGCTTCCGCTCTTATCCTCGCTTCCCGCTCCCCATAACGGAAGGCGGTAGTGAAACAGAAAGAATCCGAAAAAAGCTTTGCACTTTTGTAAGCTCTGCTTGATTTGGTGTTAGTTCCTTTTCACGCACGCTGAGCCTTTTTTTTTTCTATCGGACTTCAACGCCAGGACTTCTAAAACTCATGAGTGACAGTGGTAACGGCAGTTAGTAGGTTTCCGCCTTCGTTTGTTTCTCTTCGTTTCGTGCTTCGTTTGTCTTTTTTGGCGGTAGCGTTCCTTTTCGCGTGCTACTACGGCGCCGTCTGTAGGAGGGCCTAGTCGTATCGGCGTGCGACCCCTGTACGAATGCCACCATGTTGGTTGCCATCTACTTCTGGCCTGATAGAGAAAACTTTCTTGGGAGTTTGTGTATTGGAAGCATCTTTCTTGTTTCGACAAGTTCTTTTCCCTTTCTTACGGCAGCTTCGGTCGAGATCTGTTTCATGTGATTTTACCGTGCTGTCAGTTGCGTCTATCTTGTGACGACATTCGGCTGCTAGCGCGAATGCTATCGGCGCTCTGCAGTGCCATAGAACGGTAATCTCTTTTTTGGGCTTGGAAAGTGATCCGCAGGTGGTTGTAGTTCTCACTAATACTCGTGCCATACAGTAGGGAAGAAGAGACCGGCCTTTAGGGCTCGGCTGGGGAGAAACAAAAAGGTATCAAAACGGGGCACGAGGAAGTATGCTGACGAAAACTGATGGCTATGATGGACGGAACAGTACGCAGGAATTAAGAAGACTGGATGTCCTCGAAAAGAAAGCTGTGATTTATGCCAGGCTAGACACTATATAAACACGTCCTTATATGGAAAAAATATGGAGAAAATAAATCTAACGTTTACCTAAGCAGATAACAACAACAAGATTAGGATTTGGCCAGATGTGTTGCCAGTTAGAGTTAGTCTGTCGTGAGAGGAACAACTAGAATCCGTCTTCATTTAATCGGGGGTAATAAAATCTGCAAAAATTTTCGATCCTTTGTTTTACCGCCCTTTCACCTGCTGCTTCTGATGTTAGCTCTGTACAGGAGTAATAATATGTTACTAGAGGCGTCTTGCTGCGCACACCCCTTGCAGCTGTGGCTTACAATTTTGGCAGTAGGAGTAACGACACAAGCAGTAGCCGTCGGAGTAATAGCAGACACTCGGGTAATTCCCAAAAAAAGGAGAGTAGACGGAAGAACAGGCGTTTGGCTAGGCTAAAGTTGTGTTGCCATCGTCTCATCGTCGGTTCAAGGGGCAAGAGTTGCTTCCCGCTTGTCCGCCTATCACCCCATCCCTTTGATGAAAACGAGACAGTCCTGTCTGCTGCTGTCTTCGGCAATTGAACCCCTCCGAGCAGTGGTGGTCAGCTGAAAGAAGGATCGGATTAGACGGACGGAGCAGGAAAGAGCTCTAGTAGCAGCAGAAAAGATCAGGATGGAAGTAAAACGAACGAAGGAAAAGTCGTTCGTTCAGCGGGCTGCTTGGCCGCCCAGTAACTCGCTCACTGGTTGGCTTGCACTTCGTTGTCGTTGTCATCGTTGTTGATGTTAGCGTTCACTTGGGCCTTTTGCCGTTTGCTGGCCGCCAACAGCATAGATACTTGGTATGGAGATCGGGCCCAGTTGTGAGCTACTGTTACCCCTGCACGAAAAGCGATGGGTGGTGGTCGCTGGGCATCAAAGACGGCAATGGTGGTAGCGATGCTAGTATGTAGAAAGTCTGACGGTCTTCTGAGTACCGAGGGTGTGGAGAACTACTGGTTTCTTACAGGACCGGATCGCTAGCCGGTTCCCTAGGTTGTCCGATTGCCAGCCAGCCCCCTTGGATGGTGCGAGCTAAGGAGATGGAGCGAGACCTCCGGCAGGCGATGGTGCCGGCAGCACTAGCAGCATACACACGACGATGAATTGGCAACCGAAAGAGGGGGCTTGAGAGCTGTCTGGGAATGGGCCAAGAAAGGAAGTGGTACTGTAGAAGAGACAAGGAATAGGGGAAAGAAGTCCCGGGGCCAAGGAGCAGGGCACGAGACAGCTAGCCGAGCCAAAGTAAAGTCTAAGCAAGCAATGCAGGAGTGGCTTGGAAGGACGAAGACGGCAATAACAACAACGAATCTGTTCGACGGCAAGAAAGAGCTGACAGAGGAGAACGAGCTATGTGTGATCTGTTTCAGGCTGATGTTGCTGCTGCTGCTCTCGCCCGAAGTGCGGCCCTCTAGGTCTGATTGTGGGGTTGAAGTCAGCTATAGCAGAGTCGACTGCAGGTTTAGCCAAGCGCTCGTTCGCTCGGTTGTCTGGTTGCAGGCAAGCAAGAGTAACCAGCAAGGGGTTTAGGGAAGGACCCGAACAGGGATATAGTGGCAGGAGGAACGTAGCAGGCATTATCACCGCGTTCCTCTGTTCGACGCTGCTTGAAATGGGTCTGCTCTGCTCCGCAATGGCCTCTGCCTCTAGCTGCCTTTGCTCGGTTCCAGCCCCCTGACTGGCCTCACCAGCGGAAGAAGCAGCTGCGGGAGCGGCTGCAGCCCCTCTGGTGGTAGTAGGGCTCCCGACCGATAAGAGGAGTCTCTGCAATGTGTTTTCTACCCCGGTTCCTGTCTGCTCATCGTCCCCGATGCGTGCCTGCCACACTCCTCGCTATGGCTGCTACTGCTGATGGTCGACGGTCCCACTACCGCCGAAGCCAAATCAAAGCCGAGGTCGCCGTTGCCACAACGGAGTTACAGAGAGAGGACGCAAAGTGAGGACTGCATATACTAGCGGGTGGCGAGTGACGAACGGATGTTGCCGGGTGGATGGCGCAGGGAAGAAGGGTGGAGTTAGAACAGCGAATCGGTTGCTTCAAAGTCTGTCTCTGTCTGTATATCGGTTTGTCAGCTGGGCCGTATGTCTGCGTGTGTTTACCGGCATGCGTTTGCATCTGTGTGTGCGTATATGTAGAGCCCCGAAGGAGTACGAGAGACCGACGCCCATCAGCCAGGGATTCTCAGCAAAATGGGGGTCGGTTGGTCGCTGATCTCTCTGTCTATCTGTCGACTGTCCCTCCTCTTCCCTTATCCTCAATCTTGCGCTCTCTCGTAGCCTTGCTCCTCCTCCCCTCCCGCTCCCCTGCCTAGCCATATTCAGTACTACGTCCCGTGTTTCTGTGGCGAGAGTGGTGGTCTACCCCATAAGATATCCCCAAACCACCAGCCCAGAGGTAGAAGCTAGGAAGGGCAGTTTCCTCGCCCGTTTCTTCCATTCTTGTTTTGGCCTGCTCGCCTGACTGCTGGTACTGCTACCATCACTGGTTCCTTACGGTCCGGCCCAGTCTACCCCCTTTCCGGACTAGCGCCGCCTTCTGCAGTGGGAAACACCTACTGCTTCCTGCCTTCAAAGTTAGTTAGGGAAGCTTTCGAAGGCCTTCTCTGTCTAATAACGGGAATTGAAGTTGTCGTCGTCGTCGTCGTGGTAGAACGGAGACAGATGCTATTGCTATAGTGTGTGCAGCAGTTAGAGAAGGTAGTGTCTGGTAGTTCGCAGGAGTTGTACGAAACGACGAGCAACGAGAGATAAGCTGGTAGAGGGGTCGCTAGAGATCTCTGAGTGTGAGTCGGTGGACAGGAGAAGGCCAGCCAAAAGTTTAGTGGAGCTCAGCTATGTATAGCATTTGGCGAAAAGAGCTCGTAATTGTATCCGATTCGTTTTTGCATTTCGACATTTATATCTACACATAGAACATATGTAGGCAACCAAACAGTAGGGTCACCAACTTTGACTTTTTACGGTATAGAGGGCAAGGTTTTTTGAAAATTCGCTTGACACTGAGGTGGAACGGCACAAGGTTCCTATTCTCTAATAGTCACCCAACTGGGAATATAGTGAATAATGCTAGAATTAATTCAAAATGTGTCTGATTGCACAATGCAGGTGCAAACATGTTTGCATAACTTGTTCTCCTGAAATCTGCCTTAGCTCCTTACATCATAGCTAGCGCTACAGCTTACATAAGAAACGTGCGGAGAGTCCCGGCCTTGTGTTCGTCTTCGAGGGCAAAGTCTATGCAAATCACCAAAGAATTTGTTGAAAGACTAGGAATACATGTAAGAGCCTGGTGCATTGAGTACTGGCTGAATGCCAGTTCAAAAGGATCTGCTGATCAAAATCAGGCTTATAACGAAGAACGTGGCGACGGCATCGACGACGAATGTAACAATCGATGCAATGTAGTGTCTGGACAATAGCCAATTCGGGTGAATGGCTGTTTTCCCAAGTGATCACACGGGTGAAACCTGCTCTTTCGCCGTAAAAACTCCATTTCGAAACATGAGCACCGTAAACGTGTTTAGTGATTTTTTGCTTAGTGAGAGAGACTCACCCTTCTCAACAACGTCGTTTCTGTGCGTGCCGTGGCTAAAAGTCTAGCTAACAAACAGCTTGTAAAACAATCCTAAAATTTTGCCCTTATCTGTCGTTTGCACAGGCTATGAGACTTAGCCATAAGGTTGCGTTTTTAATCAATATATGATATGCGAAGTAATATCAATTATGCGCTGTTTTATTTATGTTCAACTGCATTGATGACCCCCTTGTTTTGCGAACTAACGCAACGTGTTACAGCTTGAGCGGCAGCAAACTAAACCACTACAATTTATGCTTCTTTACAGTGGCGATTCCCCATATAGCAATGGAGTAATAAGGTATGCTCTGTTCGAAAGACATGGCCCATACTGTGCAGGTCTATTCGACCTAACAAACGCTACTGTTTACTATGTTATCCCGCTGCTTCTACTGGGTGAGCCATCTAAAATCTTATCCCCCGTCCAGCTTTTCGAATAGGCCGAGGCTGAATGTCACTCTGCCGAATGGCTTGCAGCTGGTTCCACAGTCATTGTCAGCCTACTGGGGCAGGAGGACGCCCATAGATAGGGCTGTCTGGCGACTCGGCTATCGCCGGAGCTCATGAGCCCCTGTACGCAGGCACGGAGACTTAAACATACATTGTTATCATTTAGAGTATGCCAGAAGTGGCAGGGGTGTTTATTATGGCAGTTCTAACTGCTCCTTCGGCCTGCTGGTCTACCCAGATCTACCTACTTTCTACTGAGCAAGAACAAAGTCCACAGCTAGAAAACGATGAGAGGCTTTAGTCGTGGAAGTGGCAACTGCAGCAGTCACAGCGCCGAATATGTTGTAATTTCTATGTGGTGCGCAGGCCCAGTTCACCATGTAGAATCGACTGCTGCTGCTACGTGCCTTTGAACGCTGCTGCCCGGATTACCCTCGCCTAACCCACAGGCTTGCGTTCCACGACCGATTCTCGGCCAAGTATCTTGTGGTTATTCTACTGTTAGTTGCCCTTGTCTGTCCCGAACCAAAGACAGACTTTATGCTTACCTTGGTCTGTCCATAAAAGGGGGGAGAAGGGTACTCCTACTTAGTCCGAGTTCCGGTTGTGTGTGTATTGTTGTTCAAAGAGCGGGCGCGTCTGTGAGCCTGTGACGCTATTGCTGGTGCTGTTATGGATCGCCCTCCTGTCGCCGGCACCACCACAGAAAGGGATACACCATCCGACATTAGCCAACCAACTGCAGCATAAACAGTTTTCATTGTTGTTGTTACTGCTACTGCTGGCGTCGTTGCGGCTTGTGAGCTTTTTCCCCGTCGCCAATACTCATTCACTCACAAGCGAGTCTTTGTGCCTATCTATGTTTACATCATGGTTGCAGACGGCCTCTCATTTAGTGGCGTTCTCAGTCGAGTCGGCTCGACTCGATCTGACTGCCCTGCTCGTTGTCACGCGTAGTCTTCATCTTATGATAGGTTCGCTAGTTGGGTGATACCATTGCATTGGCCCCTAGCTACTGCCCAAGGACTGATGGCTCCGAAAATCCAGCAGACACTGGCTAGACCCCTCGACAGACAGTAGCGACGGTGGCTAGCTAGCTGGGGGAAGGGGACAGGTCCACTCAATTCTCTCTTTCACTGCTGCTTCTACCGCGGCAGGATGTGGTGGGGTTTCACTCGTTTCCAGTATCGATAGTCGTACTGCTTTGGCCGGTCACGGGTATGCGGAAGACAGGCGTACACACAGAGATCACAGGAAGTGTCAGGATGCTAACGAAAAAGCGAGAAAGCCGAATCCAGTCGTAGGATCTAAGAGCGGCAGCGCTGGTGCTGCTACTGCTAGCAATAGCGGCGACAGTGGCTATGATGATGTAGTCATCGTAAGCTTAAGGCTTCAGGGTAGAGCGCTCCCTGATCGCACAGAGGGAACAGAAAAAGGACAGCAGGAGTTAAGGGTAAATTGGCACAAGGCACGAGAGGGAGGCCGGTGACTAGGAAGCAATGAAGAGCTGTGATGTTCGGCTAGGAACAAGCCTAGAGAGCAAGCGGGCAGCGTAAGAAAGGCGATATATTGGTATGTGAATGGAAAATAGGCTCGAAGCTGCTTCCTTTCAGGGAAATGGTGGGATTTAGGAAGTGGGACCAAAGGGAGCTTAGGTAGAGAAGTTCGGGTATAGGTGTTGCCAGCGGAGCTTCATACGATCGTGGGCGAAAGGCTATCGCTCACCGCGACGTTATAGCGGAAGAAGAAAAGGAGGAAGAACGGAGTCCCGCTATGGTTGAGGCGGTTGGCCTGGCTGGACGCTGCAGTCACTGGTACAGAGTAGATGCACACCGGTACTCCGGTCTGTGTCGAGTTGGGCAGCGGGCTGCTTTTGGGTTTCAGCGTATGGATCGAGGTACGGGCTATGGCGAAAAGCGAACGAAGGACCCGGTGGCTATTGTGATTGCAGTGGCATTTGCTTCCCTTCCGCTTACCAACCGTTGTTCGTAGCTTGCTCCGGGGAAATTGGGAGGTAGTGATAAGAATAAAGGCCAGCTGAGTTGGAAGGGCTTGCTAGGAGATGCTGGAAAGAAATGGCCTGTCTGGACGAAGATATATAATGCTGGCTGGTGAGTGTTTCAGTTGCTGTGCTAGCTGCAACCGGCATTGGCGCCATAACAGGGACTCAAAGAACCACTTCGTTTGAAATAAGTTGATGTCGTCATGTAGGCTCGGTACGAGTGTACAACAGTAGTGACTCAACTCGCTTCTGGCTGCAGCCTGGTTAGCAGAGGTCTGTCCTATCTGGCCTCCATATGGCTATACGTATCTTCGATACATACGCACTGTCGGCCTCTTTGTAGTAGCGAATGGGGAAGAGCAGCATGTAGTTGTGAGAGGGGTGAGACGCCGCCACTGGACCTGTGCGGAGATGGTGGGGATAGATCAGCGAGCTAATCAGACGACACTCCCACTACAGCTTGCAGAGCACTGAGAGAGGGATGGGCTACCAAGAAGTAGGAGAGATACAAACGAAACGACTTTGATGGCAACTACGCAACAACAACAACAAACCGCTCCGGTGGGATTTGCCTGCCGGTTTTCTTTAATTCTCCCTCTCCACCTATTCTGGCCGTTCAGCGCTTCTCTGTGTGTAAGTACGTGTGCTTGTTTCTGTCAGCCAGCAGGCTGAAACGTCAACGAACGGTTGCTGAATCAAGCTGGTGTCGGAGGTCCAGCTACCACTAACGATGGGAGCCCGCCGTAATCATCAGCATGATCACTGCTGCATCGAGCTATACAGAGGGAAGGAGTTCGAGGCTAACGAGACGGAGAAAACTGACGGATCTTGAAGGAGAATTTGGTTTGGTCGGCTATGAAACTTCACGTTATTTGACAAACGAGAGGTGTCAGACAGTTATATTGTGACAATTGCTACATTGCTATAAAGCATACGTGAGTACTCATGTAAAGGAACCGGGTAAACGGAAGATCATTAAGCAGGCAAAAGAGATTAAAACTGTACCGGTAGAGCAAATATATCTAATATATAGTGGTGAAAGTTTAGGGTATTCCAAATGACGTTTGACGAAGTTTGAATGATTATTGACTTAGATTTTTATTTGTATATACTTAATAAGGAGATTGCAGAAAATCTACGGGAACGTCTACGTTTTACTCTTTCTTTTACCATAGGTCTTCGAAATTATTTCGTTGTGGTCGGATATAAGAGCGGGCTATTGGTTCACGAACTTCAAAAAACATCCAGCTGTGGCTGACGATTGTTAAATCGTCCAGTACTATTGGTTTTCTGGCGTAGACCATCATTTTCAAAGTTAGAAGGAAAGTCTGTTACCGTGAGATCCAAAGAACGGGTAAGGTATTCTATGAGACCTATTCGTCCAACCCATCTCTTTGGAGGGTATTTATTGGAATATGCTTTTACATCACGACGATATTCTGCAAATGCTTTGTTCTATTGGAAATAAAACTCGCTATTTTGTGTAAGTTCTTCCGAATACGTCGTAAAACGAATTATTGCAATAAATTCAACAAAATTTGCCATCAAATGCTGTACCGTCGAAAAAACAGTCTGATCACACTGATGCCACACTTGCAACTTGTAACTTTAACATGTGGATTTGTAGTTGTTCCATAATTGTTTTTATGTCGATTAATTGAACGATTTAATTTTAATGCCGTTCGTCGTTTCGAGCAATCCTTATCACTCCGGATCGTCTTCATCAATAGCATGTGCCGTTGTCGGAATGTAGACTTTCCATTTACATGTTTTTGATGCGATAGAGACTTACTTGGCTTGCTGATATCAAGCTTAGGAGTAAATTATCTTACAAGTTTTTGGGGTTTTTTGTTATAACTATGATATTTTGGTTAATAAAATACGTATGTTTTCAGTGTTTCGGAACGATGCTTATAAACGTTCTAAACAGTTCTCTCCGGTCAAAACTTATTTTCTATGCGATTGATTCAGGTCTGCCTGAAGCTCGCCGTGATACCGCCTACTACATTTTTATACTGCCAATAGGGTTCTAAGATAATTTTTTTCAGTTTGAGCTACTCAGTGAGAAATGGCAATTAAAGAAGGAAGGTATTGAGCAATTAATAGAATAAGACCATATCACACGATAGTGTATACATGTTTTTGGGGCACCTAGTATAAATCGATATCATATTTTGCATAGTTGTTAACGAAGACAAATGATGGTAGGAGATCGGTTCGTGAATATTATGAAGAATAATATTTTTTAATACAAGTACAAAATGGCTTCCATTTTTAATACTGAGATGTTCGATTGTTGCAATGCAAAATAAAGATATGTACAAAATCCCGCGACCTACTCAACACGTATTAAAAACTACAATTCATTAACATGGTCTCACGTATACACAAACGCATCATATATTCATGAAATATACGAATATGTAGTGTTTGAACTTGAGTCAAATATATATATATATGTTGTGATAATACATGATGATAAAAATCGCGACTATTGTTACCAGACTGTTTCTTTTTTACAATGGTTTGCTCGTATTTGTGTGTCCGTTCTCGCAGGTAGTAATGGAGATACCTGAGTGCCGTCTGCAGAAGGAGTGGAGGTGAGTGCGGTCTACATTGAGCACCGCGCCCCCTCACAAGCGAGGAACGTTTGTTTCCCAGCCGTCCTAGCGGTTGGCAACGTTGGCCAACCGACCCTGTTTAAAAAGAGAACTCGACTGGTGGTTGCTGGCTATCAAGCACAAAGCAAGCAACTGAACAGCTTTTGAGTGACGGATCACACCGAAATCGCTGGTAGTGTTGATCTAGGTGGCGACGAAGATAACGGTGCTTGTGCATAGTGCGTCTGTGGCTGGTACAGCAGGTGCTGCTTTTGCTGTAACGTCCTGGCCGTGAGTTCTTGAGCATCGTCACGACCAACGACGCAGGCAGTGGTCAGAGGAGAAGGAGGCTGGCGCTCAGTTGGTAGGAGGGGCGCCGTTCTCAACGAGGGCACCGCCAAGCGGTCCGCTGGCTTCACCCCCGGTTTCGGGCGCTCTCCCGATCTGGGGAGCGGGCGCAGCAGGTCTGCTTCCGCTAGCGCAGTTACCGCAATTACCGCAACTCCCGGCGCTGTCGGTGACCTCGTCGACGGTGTCCGGTGGTGCTTCTATGGACAAGAAGAAGAACCCTCTAAAGAGGCCCCGCGTAGACCAGCCGCCCGCGCTGCCCACCACTGTGCCGCGGCCTCTAAGCAACGGGCCAGCCATGCACGCGCGTCCACTTGTCGCCCTTCTCGACGGGCGGGATTGCTCGGTCGAGATGCCGATCCTGAAGGACGTCGCTACAGTAGCCTTCTGCGACGCGCAGAGCACACAGGAAATCCACGAGAAAGTGCTCAACGAAGCGGTTGGTGCACTCATGTGGCACACGATCACACTGACGAAGGAGGATCTCGAAAAATTCAAGACGCTAAAGATCATCGTACGTATTGGGTCGGGCATCGATAACGTCGACTACAAGGCCGCCGGCGAGTTAGGTATCGCTGTGTGCAACGTGCCCGGCTATGGTGTGGAGGAGGTAGCCGACTCAACAATGTGTCATATACTTAACCTGTACCGCCGCACGTACTGGTTGGCAAACATGGTTCGCGAGGGAAAAAAGTTCCAAGGCCCTGAACAGGTTCGCGAGGCGGCGCAAGGCTGTGCACGTATTCGTGGTGATACGCTTGGTCTCGTTGGTATTGGCCGCGTCGGTACCGCTGTTGCGCTTCGAGCTAAAGCATTTGGCTTTAACGTGATTTTCTACGATCCGTACAAACCAGACGGCGAGGAAAAGAGCCTAGGCCTCGCACGGGTGTACACCTTACAAGACTTACTTTTCCAGAGTGATTGCGTCTCACTGCACTGTACCCTGAACGAGCACAACCATCATCTCATCAATGAGTACACCATTAAGCAGATGAGGCCAGGTAGGTTACAAACAATTAGGTTATTACAAGCAAATATGGCGGACTTTGAGATTGAACGACTTTTGAACTGGTTGGTCTAGAATGATTTTATTTAGAACATGCTAAAGATAGTCTCCTTTGCCTTGGTCAATGACTTGTATATTTTCTACACATTCGTCCCAACGTCCTGGCAGATTTTGGACAGCCATATATTGTTCGTGTTTCTACATATAATTTTTCAACCTATGGCTTCTCGAAATGAATCGATAGTGGAGTATGCTGGCACGCCAGCTGCCTTTTTTAGAGCCCAGGAAGCTCCGTAATCACACAGACTTACATTGGGAGAATAAGCAAATTGAATACGTTCTATATATGCCTTTGTTTGATCCAGGAAGTGATGAAAGGCATGGCAATGAGGTTTGACGTTGTCATCAAGTAACCATAATGCGTACGTTGCCATGCCAACGGTTCATGAGTCTTTTGAGGGATTTGAGACTGCGAACTAAACTCATTGTTTTATTTTCGGCGAGTACCTCATATTAACAGATGACTTTGATGTTCCTTGCAAGTACTATAATTACCTTACGTCTGAACGTATTCAACACTTACTGAACTAGTTTTATCTATGAGACGACGCTTTTCTTCTTCTTGGCCCTCTCTTTGGCTGGCGATGAAGATTAAACCAGGCCTCATTTACTAAGTTCAGCTGGCTTTCACTCAAGTTTCTAGAAGACTGGAATATTTACCAGCCTAATTTCATCTGCTAGCGGCGCGAAACATTAAAGAAGTCATTAGGGTAATATTAGGGTAGTCACTGGGGGTGATATTAGGATAATATTAAAGAAATCATTAGGTAATCGGGGGGGGGGGGTATTAGGGTAACATAAGGTTAAAAAATCCCCTACCTTCACCCTCATTAGTTCCCCGCCCACCCATATTATATATATATATATATATATATATATATATATATAAGACTAATATTAGGATATTTGTTAGGGTAAATGATAAAAAGGAGTGACATTAAGGTAACATTAGGGTAATATTAGGGTAATTATTGGTTGATATTAGGGTAGTGCCATGGTTATTACAGATAACACTAGGATAATGTTAGAATAGTACTAGGGTGATACTAGGGTATAATCCGAAAGTTATTGAATTTCAAAGCCTACCGGATAATAGCCTCATAAATGCGATATTCACACAATAGATGAAGAAAAACGTTCTGTTATATTTTTTTATTATGCAGTTTACTGTCATTTGTGGTGGTAATGAGATCTAAAGCTAGCCTCTGGAAAGGCAAGCCGTAGTCGACGTTAATTCTGAGTCTGCTCTATCAAAATACACTGGTGCAGTCTACAGCATATAGATATTACAGAAATTGTTATTATTAATCCTAACTGATATAATTAGCAAAAACGAGTATCCTAACAACATAGTTTAAGTTTGCTTTATTGTTTATTCATAAAATAGTTCAAGGGGTTTGCCGAAAACTCGCAAGGGGAAGACTTGATGGGACAGTGGAACGAAGAAGGAAAATAGGCGAACAAACCGGATTTCTTCGTGCCATTGCGGCGATTCATTATCACTGCTGTAGCCGATTTATGAAATTTTAGCTCCAGTTTTCTGCGTTCGCTATTGTATTTAATCTAAGGTGCTGATTGCATGCAAATTATACTGGCTCTTGCCCTAGAAAGGGGGCAATACTCTGACACCACATACCTGAGAAATCTCTACTTTTACTATCCTGTGCCAGTCGCTTACAGGATACTACAGCCCATCGGCTTGTGGGTCAGGGCAATGCACGTAAGCCAGAAAGCGAAATAAAAGATACCGACTTTCTTGGCCCAAATGGCCGCGGGTTGCTAGGGAAGGAGAAATACTGGCAGAACCTTTACGAAAAAGAAGCTAGGGTAAGGACAGGACCCGGCCTGAGAGTAACGGAGTGAGTTAACGCGACCACGGGACGTCGCTGATGTTCCCGCTGGCAGACTATTCTGCATGTTACCACCAAAGAGTCTTCTCGTCTGAGAAGACGATTTCCGACTGCAACAGTTTTATGAAACTCCCGCTGACGCTCATCTCACTACCCCCCTAACCGCCTTCTTTCTTTCTTAGTTATATCGGGGGTAGATTCCTTTTTGGGACGGTCGTTACTGATCCAGTTCTTGACTCCAAGGAGAAACGGGTGAACGGACGACATCTCCCTGAGGCAGTGTATACACTCCGACAACCCCATCAGGATTCCTGTTTTGCTGAAGAACTGCTGAAGAAAAAGAGTGGTTGTCGATTGGGGATAAGATGGAACGCGAGTGATACTAGATGGCGATGAGGAAACCGAAAAATGGAATGGGAAGCAGAAAGAGACAGAGAGAGGAAGGGTGCAAGCGAACGAAAGGGCGATAGGGAACGACTCGGATGGGTTAGTTCGATGCAGGTTGCATCAGGTTAAAACGTGAAGCCCAGTGAATGAAGCTGAGTGAAGATGGGGTAGAGAACACGCAAGCGGGTGCAGGAAACAGTTTGGCTCCTGGATAGCATCAAGGATATGCGGAGTGGGGTTACGGTGGACGCTTTTCGAGGCAGCCCGAGGGACTAAGTCGCAGGAGAATTTTAAGCTCATGCTCGAGCTCGACGAACAGGCGAAGAACTTGCACCCTGTCGCTCCTGTTGCCGGATGTTCTAATATAGCTCGGTACCCGCTTTTCGCTCTCGCTCTCTCTCGCATTGTACGCTAAGCCGCAGAGCTTGCTCTTCATGTGACGACGCGGCCTTTGTCCACTGTATTGTATGCTGACTATCGGACACAGTTGCGGGACTTGAATAAAGAATTTGGTTCTGCAACACGAGAAGGTTGAGAGAAAGCCACTTGGGTTATAGAAGGATCGCTCATTAATTATGAATAGTTTGTGCTTACAGCATAAGTGATTATTTAATTAATACTAGTTAGAAAAAATGAACTGGAACACGCCGCTCACCTCTACATATGGCGTCTCTTCCTCAAAATTTCGGTATCAAAAATACGATTAAGCGTGCTACCCCCGAAATAAAATGAGCAATGCTCAAATATAATACCAGTAATATTCATGCCTCACCCTGCCTTCCGCCTACATAATATAATGCTAAATCTGAGTAAGGTTAGTCTAACCTTGTTTGACATTTCTCTGTTTACAGGCGCTTTCCTTGTGAACACTGCTCGAGGAGGTCTGGTCGAAGAGAGTGCTCTTGCAGCTGCCCTCAAAGATGGTCGTATTCGAGCCGCCGCCCTCGACGTCCACGAGAATGAGCCTTTCAACGCGATTTCAGGTCAGCATATTTACGGCTACAGCATAACATTTCAGCATATTTCCATTATACCACTTACATAATCTTATCGATTCTTTTGTTATGAGCTTCTATGCTTAGCTCCCGAGCCAGACAGCATACATATGAATGCGTACGGTTACAATCTTGTTGCAGATTTTGCTCAGCTAGTGATGAATTACTCATACCCTAATAGTTAATTGTTTGAAATAAAGCAACATTACAAGAACTTTTCCCCTGTCTATCCTCAATCATCCGAATTTTTTGAGGTCATTGCAAATTTTTAATAATGGCGCGCTAATAATTTCATCTTAGAGTCCAAAGACGAAAACAATTTAAGCAGAAATAAAGAACGCATCAAAGGAAAGCCACATTATGAATAAATATACAGGTCTTAAAAAACTTAGTATTTACTAAAATGAACTGAGTCTGCATACACACGTTCTCGTCGTTGTGGAAGCGGCACAAATATCCGTAATTGTAATGATTTATTGTTCCATCTGTCCCAACAAGGACAACAGCGTATATCATAACGCTGTGTCCTCCTGGAGACGTATGACATTACGCTCAGCCATTTCCTTTTTTACTTTCATCTATTTTTGATTTTATTATAGTGAATGTATTTGTCCTCGATATATATATGTACATGCATTATATTGATATTACCATTTGATTGTGCTATGCAAGTGTCTTATTCGTTTTTTTTTAAACTTAATTGAAACGAATTCGACGATAACACAGATAGGATTATGCATGCATGCGAACGCAAAATGTTATTATGCTTGTTTCCCTTATTCTATACTCCCCTGGCTTTGGCTTGCGTTGTCGACCCTGACTCTTACCCACAGGTTCGTATCCCGCAGGTCCACTGAAAGACGCCCCCAACCTCATTTGCACGCCACACGCCGCCTGGTACTCGGACGCATCATGCACCGAACTACGTGAGATGGCTGCATCGGAAATCCGCCGAGCGATCGTTGGCCGTATCCCCGAATCGCTGCGAAACTGCGTCAACAAGGAGTACTTTGGCCCTGCCGGAGGATCTGGCGCTGGACTTCCACCAGCGCTGTCTGGACCCCCGCCAACGTTCGAGCCTCCGACCGGTCTCAATGGTATGTCGCCAGCAACTCCCCCAGCGGTTCCTGCCGCACAGGTTGCTCCACCAGTGGCTCCCAATCTACTACTGATGCAGGCGGCCGCTGCGGCTGCGGCAGCCCAGGCCCAGGCAGCTGCCGCTGGTGGCGGTAGCACCACACCCAATAACTGCATGTAGTAGTTATGTTCAAGCAGACGCTAAAAAAGAAAATACTGAGCGCAGAAAAGACGGGTATGAAAAAAGGGTGACGGCGAAGTTGATGAAAAAATCTTAGTTAATAAGGTTAATGTTGTCTCGAAATAAGCCAACATTAATTGCCGAAGCCGAACAGCAAACGCAAATAGCAAATAGAATGAACAAGAAAATGATAAAAACTACTGCGGTTTTGAAATGAGTGAAAAAGATGAAGAGGAATCGATGGTGATGATAATGACACTAATGATACAAATGAGATGTGAAATGTGAAAAAGAAAAAGGCAGAGCAAAAAAGAAAACTCCTCGAGAAGATCATAACATAATGAACATAATAATAATAAATAATAATAACAACAACAACAACAACAACAATAGATTCAAAGAGCAAAGGGAAGCAGTGGAGAATTGCGCCCCTTGTAAGCGCGGCCGCCATGACAAGAGAAGGTGATTTTGAATTTGTTTGAGGTAGGCGACTGGATGGATGGGTGGATGAATGGATAAATGGCTGGCTGGAAAGCAAGCACTGTCATTTGTTCCTTTCAAAATATGGTCAGATTCCATGATGTTTTTCCACGGTTCTGGAAAGAGAGAGAAGTCATCAGGAAAATGATGAGGCCGATGTTAGATGACACTTTACTCTTGAGCGGCGAAACTCTAACAACAACAAATACATCATAATTGAACATAAACATGAACATTGAATGCATATAGTGTGACATTATTGTAACAGTGACGGAAAGAAAGAACGAGAGCGAGCGAGTGAGAGAAGGGAGAGAGAGAAAAGGAAGAACCAAGCAAACCTATATATAAACATATAAAACAAACAAATAAACACAACAGGAACATCTACAATCACCACAACACGCTCCTATTATCATATATA